AACCACATGCCCAAAGCTGGCAAGTTGTTCTGCTTGCTGGAGCTGGGACTTGGCCTGTTTGTTCAAATACATCTTCACCAGCTTTCTGCTGTCATGGTTCTTCTCACTGCCTAAGCTTTTCTTTAATTCCTTTTCACAAGTTGGAAGCTTAGTTGGATGGGCTTTTACCCTGAGGCCACCACTCCCTTTATTCCATTTAAGATTAGGTTTTTCTTTAAACTTGTTCAGCTCCTTGAGTACTGGACTTAGCTCCATTATACTTCCTAGTGCTCCTTTTCTCCTCAAATTATACATTCTGTGTTTTTCCTTGCTCAGTTTTCTCCTTTTCGTTACAGATCTGCATAAGATCTATAATGAAATCTGTAATCACTAATATATCTATAATCACTATAATCACCACACATTAGAGTCAGTACTAGCCTGACTTGAAATCTCTCTGCCAATGCCTTTAATCCAAAACTCTTCAATTTAGCCTCAGGCAGATTTTTTGGACAAGGGCAGAAAGCAGCCACATTATTCACCAAGATATCAAAAGAACTGTCTCTAGGCCATTTACTAAGATCCTCTCCTCTTGGAACCTCTTGAGCTAGGCCATCATAATATAAATTGCTCTCATCATGACTGTCTCCCATGATCCTACTAGAATGTCCCATTAAGCCCCACTTAAAGCATTCAACTGCTTTCTTAATCCAAGGTACCAAAGAACACGTTCTACCAAGTAGCATGGTCAGAGCTGTCACAGCAATGCCTTACTCTCTAGTACCAACTTCTGTCTTAGTTACTGTTTTATTGCTGTGAAGAGACGCCATGGCCATGGCAACTCTTATAAAAGAAAGCATTTCATTGGGGCTAGCTTGCAGTTTCAGAGGTTATCATGGAGGGAGCACGTCAGCATACAGACAGACATGGTACTAGAGAAAGAGTTGAAAGTTCTACATCTGGATCTGCAGGCAGCAGGAAGAGAGACATACTAGAACTGATGAGGGCCTTTGAAGCCCTAAAGCCCACCCCCAGTGACACACTTCTTCCAACAAGGCCACACCTACTCCAACAAGGCCACATCTCCTAATCCCTCTCAAGAAATGCCACTCCCTGATGAACCAGCATTCAAATCTGTGAGCCTGTGGGGGCCATTCCTATTCAAACCACCTCACCATCTGTAGCTCTTCATCCACTTTTTTCTTTTTCTATTAGATGCTGGTGAAAACTGGGGAAGAAACAGCCCAGGCCTTTGCCTCCGAGGAGTGGTCCCATCTGGCTCAGAGGAGGCTCTGTGGGAACTCAGCTCAGCAGGAGGCCATGGGTGTAATAAGTCAGGACAGGGGCTCCGGCTGGCTCCATTTGTGCTTTTCCTTTCCCATCATTGACCCCAACCTCCTTGGCCATTGGGGGCCCACACATGCTGTGGGTTCTTGCCCTCCCTCCTGGCTTCTGCCTGCAGACCTGTCATAGCCCTTGCTGTTTCACAGCCTTCCCAGTCATGTCATCTCCTGTTGATGGCCCTGACTGTTAAGTCTCCCTGTGTGCCTATACACTCACCACCTCAGTGACTTCTCTGCACCCTTTTCATTCCCATCCTGGTTCCACATAGCTTGGTACTTTCAGATATCCTTTCATACTTCAAAGAAGCCCCGTGAGTGCCCCTGCCTGATCCCTTTCACCTTACTGGGAACACTACTCTCCATGTTTAATTTTCCTTAAATGTGCTGTGCCCTGTTGGGACCTCTCTCTAGCTGCTCTGGTACCCTAGTTGGCCTTTCTTCTTATCTTCCCAGACTATGCTACGTTTTCTTCTTTTTGGATGGGGATATTCTTTTGGATTTCTTTGTTCATTTGTTTGTTTGTTTGTTTGTTTTGAAATACAGTCTGACTACATAGCCTTGACTGGCCTGGAACTCACTATGTAGACTAGTGTCCTCAGACTCACAGATATCTGCCGTCCACTGCTTCCCAAGCACCAGAATTAAAGGTGTACCCCACCACACCCAGGCCCTGTGCTACATTTTCTAGGACTGCAAAAGTTCACTCCTAAGATGTGTGTTGATATTTTTGGTCGCTTTTAATTGTAAATAATTATTCATTACCCTAGAGATTATTTTCTTTTATTTCTTTCTGAATTTATAGGATGATTATTATTTAATTATAATTTGTGGAATAATTGTTAGTTAATGTATTGTTTTAGCAGAAAAATTGCAACTAACGATTTTGTTACTTTAGATCAGGACACTTCTGAAGAAATGGTACAAGGTGGGAAGAACTCAAGAATACCCAACAGGTAAGTGTCTGTGTCCTGAGTGGTTCAGATCCTGCAGACATAAGAAGACATTGGATGGGAGCTGAAAAGGCAGGGAGTCAAAGTCTGCAGCCCTGGAACAATGCAGCCCAGGTGCCTCCCGTCTGTGATCATAAGCTGCCTGGGCAAGGCTGTCCTGTCAGTATGGAACAGCTGCAAAAGCTCAAGGCAGCACAGTTACCTCCAGCATCTCCTCATTATTCTGTCCGGCTTGATCACCCTTCCTTTCTATTTTTATGGAAGTGTAAATGTAGAAATCAAGAGACAGAATTTAGATGACAGTGGAACTGCCCTGACAGTGGAGAAGGAGCTGTCAGAGCTGGGAGGAACTTAGGGTAGACAAGCAGGGCATTTTCAACCTCCATCAGGAGGCCTGAACAAGAAAAGGATCAAAAGGAAGTCTGATAAGGAGAAATGATTTATGGGATTAGGTGCTTCCTAAGTGTTAGTTGGGAGCAACGTAGTGTAACGTAGATACCCCTAAAGCTGAAAGGGAAGATCCGATCCCAGGCAGATGGTGGGTTTCCAGTGAAGCCATTACCTTCTCAACAACTTGGGGGAGCAGGTGGGGAAGCGGAAGGAAAGGTGGGATAATTAACCACACATGGGGCAGGGTGTGGAGAGTCTCCATGCTAACGTCTGTCCATTTTAGGGAAACAAGAAGCTAATTCTGAGCTAATATAGAACTCTCTCTCTCTCTCCCCACCCCTACTCTTTCTCTCTTCCCTCTCTCATCCCTCCCCTCCTCCTCCTCTTCTTCTCCTTCTCCTTCTTGTGCTGTGTTGTAAACCCAGGGCCTTGGGGTGCACTCCACCACTAAGCCCTACCTTAGCCCCTAAAATAGAAGTATCTTGAAACTAAAAGAAAAAGGAGTGAAATTTTTAATTAAGCCAGTGAGGACTGAGCTGAGTTCCACTACAGGACAGATGTGACACCACTAACTTAGCATAGAGTTACACCTGGAGTGTGGGAATCTGCCCTTTTGCTTGTGGGTATATGCAGCATCAAATGCCTGAAACCATTGAGTCACAGTGCCTGTAAGAATAAAAATGCTTTCTTGTTTCCTGTAACAGACACTTGGAGGTTGCTAGTCTGATGTATCAGTCCTAATATGATTCCAGAGTTGAAGCCTCTGGCAGCCCCACATTCCTCTTCCAGTCCTACGTCCTGCCTTTCTCCCTTACCTCACCCTTCCCCGTTTCCCACCCCTGGATCCTGACCTCACCACATCGGCCTTAGTGCACCATGGCTCTTGGGGTTTAGAGTACATCACTGAAAGGCTTTAATGTCATGACAGAATCATAACATCATCTCAAAAGGAATGTACCGAGCCGGGTGTGGTTGCTCGTGCCTACAATCCCAGGACTTACGAGGCTTGGGCAGGAAAATGCCTAGGCTTCGTGTAAGTTCCAGGCCAGCCTGGACTACAGAGTGAGACTGTCTCAAAAAAAAAGGAGCAATAAGGGGCTAGAGAGATGATTCAGTGGTTAAGAGTTCTTGCTGCTCTTTCAAAGGATGGAAGTCTGGCTCCCAGCACCCACTCTGGGTGGCTCACAAGTCCTTGTAACTCCAACTCCAGGGGATCTGACACACCTGGCCTCCTTGGGCACCTGAGCTCACATGTACATTACACACACATATACATGTAATTAAAAAGTCAAATAAAAATCTTAACACAAAAAGCCAGCAAGCTGGCTGAGTAGGTAAGAGTACTTGCCGTGCAGGTCTGACCGAGTTTCATCTCAGGGTCCCATGATGGAAGGAGAGAACCAACTCCCAAAGTTGTCTTCTGACTGCCACTGGTTGCCCAGAGGCTCATGAACTTCCTCTCCCAAGTCATACAATAGCAAATAAAATGGCAGCTGACTCCGTAGCAGGTGAGGAGTACACCACACAAGCCTGATGGCCTGAGTTCAGTCTCCAGAACCCACAGAAAGGGGAAAGGAAGGGACTCCACAAAGTGTCCTTTGACTTTCACCAAGCACTGTGGCCCACTCAGACAACAGAAGGAGTAATGTTACTTGTGTCAAATAATACTTTTCATCTTCAGTTTAGCTTGCTTCCTGTAGATCCCACACAAATTCGTTCAAGTGCAGTGAATCTGAGTTTCTGTTTGTTTCTCCTCAGAGAAATTTATCTACCAAGATGAATATAAAGCTAAGGGATGCTAAGTCCTTCCTTGCTCAGAAATCCCAAGAGTTGTGAGGAGACCTGGTAAATAGTGAATTGACATAAGATCGTGTCCAAGTAAAGAGAAAACAGGGACACAGGAGTGGGACCAATGGTTCTAGAAATCTCAAGTTACTGCTACGAGAAGCTAGCCCGGATAAGGAGGTTGGAGGCAGAGCTAACCAGGCCCTTAATGGTAGAAGAGTGCCTCCTGTAGAGGCCTACCAGCACAATAGGTGCCCAAAGCAACTTGGAAGGTCTGCATCCTGCTCCTACAGGACCGAGGGGGCAGAGGGAGTGGGGGAGGGGGGAGGGGTAGGGGCATACTCTGCTCAGTGGGCCAGCTTCTCAGATTCAGCAGTTAGTTATGGCACAGGAGTGAGTGAAAGGTGGGGAGAGGTCAGAATGCCAAGTGTAGCAAGTCTTCCCTGGGAAACAAGGAATAGAAAGTAGATCCGCCCAGAAAAACGATTCTACTTTGTCTTTGTCATGTGTGGAGAAAGAGATTTGGGTTCTTTTGTTTTATTTTCTTTCTCAGGCTTGTGCGCCCCACATTCCTGGTTGTACTACTTTCCCTACGGAAAAGACAGTCTCAAGGTTGAACACTCTCAGGAACTGCCACCCACCCCGAGACTCCTGGGCCAGGATGCACATCGCATCCTTGCAGTATGCAGCTGGAGACATCACTCGGAAAGGGAGGGAAAAAGACAAATCTCGAGTGAGTGAGCTGCTTTAGGGCCTGCATTTTCTGATGACTCAGAGGCAGAGGAAGACAATGAGCCTGAGGTACAGCCTCAGAGAAAGAAGCTAAAGGTGTCCACTGTCCCCGAGAAGAATTGGACTAAAAGAGACATTAAGCCCAACTTTCCAAGCTGGTCAGCACTGGATTCTGGACTTTGGAATCTCAAGAGTGAGAAGTTGAACCCAGTAGAGCTCTTTAAATTATTTTTTGATGATGAAACGTTTAACTTGATTGTCAATGAAACCAATAATTATGCTTCTCAGAGAAATGTCAGCTTGGAAGTCACAGTGCAGGAAATGCGGTATGTGTTTGGTGTCCTGCTCTGGAGTGGACTCGCAAGGCATCCCAGGAGGGGAATGTATTGGGAAATCTCTGATGCTGATCAGACCCTGGTTAGAAATGCAATTAAAAGGGACAGATTTGAATTGATTTTCTCATACCTGCATTTGGCTGATAATAGCCACCTAGATCAAAAAGATAAGTTTTCAAAATTGAGGCCTCTAATAAAGCAAATGAATAAGAATTTCCTCCTGTACGCCCCCCTAGAAGAATACTATTGTTTTGGCAGGTCAATGTGTGAATGCTTTGATAGTGACGAATTTCTGAATGGAAAGCCTCTTAGAATTGGCTATAAAATTTGGTGTGGTACGCCGGGCGGCGGTGGTGGCGCATGCCTTTAATCCCAGCACTCGGGAGGCAGAGCCAGGCGGATCTCTGTGAGTTCGAGGCCAGCCTGGACTACCAAGTGAGTTCCAGGAGAGGCGCAAAGCTACACAGAGAAACCCTGTCTCGAAAAACCAAAAAAAAAAAAAAAAAAAAAAAAAAAAAAAAAAAAAAAAAAAATTTGGTGTGGTCCAAACACACAAGGCTATCTAGTTTGGTTTGAGCCCTACCAAGAAGACTCAGCTGCGGAAACAGATGAGGAGCTGGACCTTGGGCTAGGTGGGAATCTAATAATGAGCTTTGCTGATGATCTTTTGCAGAAAGGTCACTATCCCTATCACCTGTGTTTCGATACCTTCTTTACAAGTGTTCAACTGATGTCAGCTTTGAAGAAGAAGGGAGCGAAGGCTGCAGGATCAGTTCGTGAAAACAGGACTGAAAAATGCCCGCTCATGAATGTAGAACACATGAAAAAGATGAACAGGAGTATTTTGATTTCAGGGTGGAAGAAAATGATGAGATAATTTTATGCCGTTGACTTGGTGATGGCTTTATTAGTCCGTGTTCGAATGCTGTAGGCATAGAACCAGTCAGTGAAGTAAACTGTGTTGCTGGTGAGGAAGAGCTCCTTCAGGTAAGCCAACCATCCATAGTGAAATTGTATGAGGAATTCGGGAAAGGTGTGGCTAAAATGGATCAAAGTATTTCCAAATATAGGGTGGGATTAAGAAGTAAGAAATGACCGGGCGGTGGTGGCGCACGCCTTTAATCCCAGCACTTGGGAGGCAGAGCCAGGCGGATCTCTGTGAGTTCAAGGCCAGCCTGGGCTACCAAGTGAGTCCCAGGAAAGGCGCAAAGCTGCACAGAGAAACCCTGTCTCGAAAAACCAAAAAAAAAAGAAGTAAGAAATGGTACTCAGGTTTGGTTAGTTACATGATCGATGCAGCCATGAACAATGCATGGTAGCTACACAGTATCTGTAACCCTAGCTCTCCTTTAGACCTCCTGGGTTTCTGGAGATATGTTGCACACTTTTACTTGGGACATGATGTTAATCTGTCTGATTAGGGCAGATAAAATACATAATAACAAGATACAAAAAAAAATATAATTAGATTACTCTACCAAAGCAAATGTAATGGAAGTGGTGCAACTAAGTACTTGGTATTTTTTTAAATCATAGATTGTTACAGCAAATATGTTAAAAAGGTGTTTTGTGAGTGTTGAATTTGTGTTATATGCCTAATTTTGTGTCAGATGCGTGCAATCACTTACTCATTAAGTTATTTTCTAAAAGAGCAAAACCCATTTCCCCATTGTCAGTTTTCTTTGGACACTGACATTTTGAAAATGCAGGCAATATCACACTCTATAGAATGGCACTGAATCCATAATCCAAAATAGATATACTGCTCATGAGGGAAGAATGTTCTAAACAAGACATAGGTGTGAGGGACTAAATATCTCAGCTGTATCACACCATGTGTAGTTGAGACAGGGCCAGTCATGAAATTGGAGTACAGGGATGGAAGTGTGAAACTGTATCTTTAAATACTGAAGGAAATGTTATGACTATGAGTTGGAAGAAGTCAAAATGAGAAAGGTCGTGAAGCAAGTTGAGTAGCAATAGTTATCTTGAGAAGAAAGAAAGCAGGAGGCTACTGGCAAAAAGCTCATGTCAAAGTCCCACAAGATGAATGAGTCTGGATTGAGGTCATCAGTGATTATTTATCCGGGGGAGACATTTGGAACTATGACTCCATAGTGCTGAAGTCTCATAGGGGTGGCTTAGGCTAAAGACAAAGATTCTACATCATTTCTGTGTTTCAGACAATTTTCTTCAATATTTGTTTTATTATGTATGCATCTGTGATAGAATGATACCTTAGTTACTTTTCAATTGCTGGGACAACTTATAAAACAATGTGTTTACTGGGGGTTACAGTTTCAGAAGTTCACAGTTCATGACCATTATCATGGGGAGCATGGCTGGCAGGCATGGCACTGAGCAGTAGCTGAGAGTTTAAACCTTTATCCACAAGTGCAAGGCAAAGTGCCAATTAGGAATGGTCTGGGCTTTGAAACTTCAAAGTCAGTCCTCAATGACACACCTCTTCCAACAAAGCTACACCTAATCCTTCCCAAACAGTTCTACCAACTGCGGACCAGGTATTCACGCATATGAGCCTATTGGGGACCATTCTCATTCAAATCATCATTTTTTTTTTTTAGTTTGCCATTATTATTATTTTAAGTGCATGAGTCTTTTTTTTCAACATATGTCTATGTACCATATGAGTACCTGGTACTCATGGAGGTTAGAAGAGGGTGTTGGATCCTCTGGAATTGGATTTACAGGTGGTTATGAGCTGCCATGTGGGTGCTAAGAATTGAATCCAGGCCTTCTGACAGAGTAGCCAGTACTCTTAATCACTGAGCCATCTTTGCAGTCCTCTTGAGAGGCAAATTTAAGCCATGTATAATAATACATTCATCCATGTTTCAGAATATTTCTTTACACTGTGTGAAGATGTGTCACTGTGATTGGTTTACTAAAGAGCTGAATAGCCAATAGCTAGGCAGGGAGAGGTTAGGTGGAACTTCCAGGGACAGAGAGGACTCTGGGAAGAAGAAAGGCAGAGTCAAGAGCCAGACATGAAAAGGAAACAGGAGGCACAAGATGGAGGAGAGGTAATGCCATATAGCAGAATGTAGATTAATATAAATGGGTTAATTTAAGTTATAAGAGCTAGTTGAACAAGCCTAAGCTAAAGGCCAAACTTTCACTATTAATAAATAAGTTCCCATGTCATTATTTGGGGACTGGATATCCAAAGATAGTACTGCTGCACATGCATTCCAAAAGTTCCTGCCTAGCTGACAAAGGGTGGTTGTGGTTTACCTTGTTGTGCCCCTGCACTAAACACATAGGATACTTCTGTCCACACTGTGTTCACTATGCCGTGTGAACAGTGCCTTACAATGTGGCTATTTTTATTTAGTATTTGCCCATTACAAGAAAATAAACTTCCAAAATATGTCTTCTACAGCCACACGGGACATGAAATTAAGTGCTATGTACTATTCAGGGTACTTAAACTTCATTGTAACTTAATTGAAAAATTTGGCTTATCCAAAAAAATAGCTGTATGTTTATTTTTTCAAATAGTCAACTTAATTCTTTTTATTACATTTATTTGTGTGAATGTGTGTGGGTAAACACATGGTGTATATGTGGAACTCAGGGTAAAAGGGGGTCCATTCTCTCCATATGGGTTCTAGGAATCAAACTCAGGTCTTCAGGGTTGGAAGTAATTCATGAATATTCCATTGTGCATATGTAATACCAATAAACATTGCCTAAAATGCCTCAGCTCAGATTTGAAAATACTCTATGTTATACATTGAGGTGTTTTTACTGTACATATAAAGCGTTCTGCTCTTATAGAAACACAATGGCTATGTTCACATTGGCAGCACATATATGAAAATCATAACAATGCACAGAAGATTAGCATGGCCCTTCTGCAAGGATGACACTCAAATTTGTGAAGCGTTCCATACTTTTTAGCAAGGAAATGGAACCGGCCTAGATGTCCATCAACAGAAAATGGATAACAAAACTCAGCATATGTACACTATGGAATTTTACCCAGCTGTAACTAGATGGGAGTCCAGGAGCAGGGAGCAAGAGATGTTGAGGAAGTTTGGGGAGGAGGGCAAAAGCACTTTCACTTATGAAAGGAAAAAGAAGGCTTCTGGGAGTGGGTTGTGAGAGAAGGGACAGAAGAAAAACAACCCAAACAAAATTTATTTGAAAAAAGAAAAATGCTGTAATAGAACCTAGTTCTTTATATGCTAGTGAAAAAAAAGGAGGGCAAACCTGGTTATAATCTAAAGAACTATTTTTCAAATATACAAAACTTTGGGCCTTAGAAAATAAAGTGGATTAAGGGTGTATTTGTGATGCTATCTGGATTAGAAATAAAAATTAGGTTTTTTGTTTGTTTTTAAGAAACTCCCATTCATATACACAGTGGAAATACAACTCGCATCTGTCCCCAGCAAGTATAGTAGGTTGGATGTAAGAGAAGCCAAGCTTAGCGGGTAAAGATACTTGTTGCTAAACCTGATGACTTAGGTTTGATGCCTGGGTTCCACATATTCACAGGAATTAATCAACTTCCACCAAGTTATTCTCTGACCTCCACATACATGCTGTGACATTCATTCACCCACATATTCACATAAACACAAATAAAGAAATGTAATTAAAAAGAAAAAACCCTATTGGCTTAATTATAGAATACAAAGATTTAATATTTTCCTACTATCATTCCTCAACATGTAAGTATCAAATTTATGTATCTTTAGATTATATTATATTGTATTATAGAATTGCTGCGGGATAATGCTCTTGTACACTGTAAAGATTTGTCACTTGTATTGGTTTAATAAAACACTGATTGGCCAGTAGCCAGGCAAGAAGTATAGGTGGGGTGACCAGATTAGGAGAATTCTAATTGCCAGGCAGAGGCAGAGGAAATAAGATGAGACTGTTGGACTGAGAAAAGGTACCAAGCCATGTGGCTAAACATAGACAAGAATTATGGGTTAATTTAAGCATAAGAGCTAGTTAGTTATAAGCCTGAGCAATAGGCCAAACAGTTTATAATTGATATAAGCCTCTGTGTGTTTATTTGGGACCGAATAGGCAGGACAGAAACTTCCATCTACATAGAATATTTGGTTTTAAAAGCTGCTGTTTGAGTTATTGATTTGAGTTTCTTTTTTAAAACCTTTAAATTAATTTTCACTCGGGATTAGAACATAAATTTCAGTGATTTCCCCAGGGATCCTAGATACACTTCTGCCATTTTGTATTGTGTGAAACAGTGTTCTCCGCATTGACAATTATAAAATCAAACTACATGAGCCAGCAAAATAGTTCAGTGAGGGAGCTGGAGAGATGGTTCAGAAGTTCAGAGCACTTGTTGAAGAGGACCTGGGTTTGGTTCCTATCACCCATATGATGGTTCAAAACCATCTATAACTTCAATTCCAGGATATATGATGCCCTCTTCTGACCTCGGCAGGCGTGAGGCACAGATGTGGTGCACATACATACATACATCCATGCCAAATTCTCATATAAATAAAATAAAATACGATCCTTTTTAAAAATCAATAGGTTAGCCGGGTGTTGGTGGCACACGCCTTTAATCCCAGCATTTGGGAGGCAGAGCCAGGCAAATATCTGTGAGTTTGAGACCAGCCTAGTCTACAGAGTGAAATCCAGGACAGGCACCAAAACAACACAGAGGAATCCTGTCTCGAAGGAAAAAAAAAAAAAAAATCAATGGTTTAGTGGGTAAAGGCACTTGTCAAATTAGCCTGAAAACATGAGTTCAGTCCCTAGACTCTACAAGGCAGAAGGAGAGAACAACTTCTGAATGCATAGATTAAATGAACTAGAGATTCTCACAAGAGGCATCCAAACATGACAGTTAAACACATTAATGATGAGGTCAGAACCATCGGCATATGCCCATGTCACACTAGAGAAACCTGAAACTTCCTTCTGAAGTAATTTGTCCAAGAATGAGCCCAAATTTGAATTTGCTACTTCTCACCCTATGCCTTCTACCTCTCTATAACTTATCTGTATATTCTGAACTTGTCTGTATGTACTGGCCTATCTGGGCTCTGTTGTTTGGGTCTGAATCTGTGTCCCCATGCCTGCTTGATGACTGAATGTCTAGTCTGTCGTAGGAGTCTGAATCTGTCCCTGCCTCAATGTTGTCTTCCTTATAGATCTCTCCCTAACCAAGGGCTTTTGCTCTGTATTTATTGAAGAGATCATAGAGCATCACATGGGAAGGAATGAAGGATACTTTACAGAAATCTTTAGTGAAGTTTTATGAGGGATTATACTTGACTCACTTCAACTAACCCAGAAGCACTCAGAAAGGCAAATATAACTGTCATCATCAAGGAATATCCATGTTTTTTCAGCATTTATAGAAGGTATTTATTTTATAAAGTTGCTTCCATCTTGTTGTTTTCAGAACATGATTATTATAACACAAAGACATATATACATATATATGCATACAGAGAGAGAGAGAGAGGGAGTTTTCTGAGTCAGGGCCATGGAAGAGTACATGTCTTGAGATTACAGCTCTGCGCTTAGGTTGTAGAAGGTGATAACATGGAAAATTCATGGCAAGTAAGATTGGCTGTTACATTGTTCTCTTAAAGGCAAGTTAAACAGATTGAATATACAGCAGGAAATCAGTCTTAAGTGACCTCAACATGTATTATTAACTCAGCCATGAGGTCCACCAAAAGTTCCAGTCTCTTTAGACATAAGAGATATTTTCATAATAATCTAATGCCACACGTGAAATTTGTCCTCTGATCTCCACATGTACACACATTCTTAGACACATATGCATGTTAAATAAATAAAAATTCAAACTATCAATCAACTCTAAAAAACTGTTGAAGATGGTGCTGGAAAAATGGCTCAGCAGTTCAGAACACTTGATACTACTTACTCCAGAGCACCTGGGCTCAGTTCCCAGGACCCAAGTCAGGTGGCTCACAACCACCTGTGACTCCAGCTCCAGGGGATCCGATTCCCTCTTCTCACCTCAGAGGCCACTTGCAGGGACAGGGTGCACATGCACTAAGGCACACACGTATGCACATAAATAATTACAACTTTAGAAAATGTTGAACATATTGTGTCCTACAGCATCAAACATTCAGCCAAGGTTTAATTCTTTACATAAAAGTAAGCAAACACATCACTTCACAAATTTTCTTTGTTTTTTTTCCATTGAAAAAATATTAAAATGATTAGTGTGTACATACATAATGTGTGTGTATTGGCATGTACACTATGGCATATATGTGGAGGTCAAAGGACAGCTTTGTGGGGTCAGGTCTCTTCATTAACCTTGTCGCTCTCCGGGGTTGAACTCAGATCACCAGGCGTGGTGGCAAAAGCCTTTTACTGACTGAGCTACCTCACTGACCCCACCCTGCTCATTTTAATAAGAATCTTATCTATATGAAAGCACTGTTTTAGTCTTTCATGGTTTTTGAGATGGGGTGGCAGTGTTGCCCAGGCTGGTCTTGTGCTCATGGACTAAGCCATCCTCTCAGCTCAGCCTCCTGAGTGCAGGGACTCTAGGCAGCCACCACCATGCACAGCATGGGGACCCACTCTGGATCCTGGCCTTCTCTGTCTACAGCTCCAGAGTTAAAAATAAAATGACTTTTGAGTCCTGAAAAGTTTTGTGGATGTGCCAGGCGGTGGTGGTGCCGGCCTTTAATCCCAGCACTCGGGAGGCAGAGGCAGGTGGATCTATGTGAGTTCGAGGCCAGCCTGGTCTACACAGAGAGTTCCAGGACAGCCACGGCAGTTACACAGAAAAACCCTGTATGAAAAACTACAAACTAAAAAAAAAAGTGGGGGGGGATATGTGGGTGTTTAAAATGTAAGTCTATGGGTTTGTGGGTGTGAAATGAAAGTTCCTGAAAAAAACCATACCTGGATTGGATTGAAGATTATGTCTCCCACTCTCCACATCTCCATTTCCCAGATCTTCATTCCATTTTTGCTTCAGCTAGCTCCAGAATCCCTGCACTCCCTCTCAGTCTCCAACTGTCCACCCTCAAACTGCACCCATCACATTGTTAAGGGAGACCATAGTAATGACTTCCTGTGTAAATGTGGGTAACTCTTACTCCCCAAAGCATTAAGTCCATTTATATCTTACAGAAAAATACCCAACTTTATATTATTTTTTAACTCACCCAATCTTTACAAAGTGCACACAAATACTTACAGAGTTGTTCAATATTTAATATTATTCAAGAACAGCTTTTCTATTCAAATGTATTTCCAGATTTGCTTGCTTTAAGAGAAATCACTAGGGATTAACCAAAAAATAGAGGATAAGAAAGCTGACTGGAGGATCCAGAAGACACCAGTAACTGGTTCTTAGACAGCTATTCATTTTGCTAAGAACAGAATAGACCAGATGAACATCTTATTTTCCAAGATGGCCCCATTTAGACGACTGTTAGGTCCCAGAGGTAGTCTACAATATCCAGAAATGAGCTACAGGAGTTCAAGTGGTTAGATAAAAACCAGCATTCCTCAGGAACTTGTGAAACCAGTTCCCACCTGCCACAAGGAGTCATTTCCCTTACCTGTGGCAGAAGGGGCATATGGCTGCCTGTGGTGCCTATCAACATATCAAAGCCCGTGCTGCCACCTGACTCCCTCAGTATCACAAGTAACGGTTATACATTTCAAAGTCCAGGCTAGCATTCCAGCCCTTCTTACCTCCTCTACCCTGAACCCCCTTCAGCTCACAGGCTTTCCTTCCCCTAGCTACTCCCCATATTCTTAGAATCCAGCTGTTCTCACCGTGCTCTCTCTAGTCTGTGTCTCCTGCCATTCTCTCCTCTCTCACAGACAGCCCTGGCCAGTCCAGTCTGCTGGCTGTGTTCAGTCTACTTCTTTCTCTCTCTGCTCGGGACTCTTCCAGGTGCCTCTGGCTGCTCTCTCTCCCATTTCTACAATAAAAATCTTAACCATATCATGGAGCAGTCATGTTGGCAGTTTCTTTACTGAACCCCCTCACATAAAAGGACTACAAGTCCACAGGATGAGTCCAATTCAGCAACTGTACGTGTTCTAAAATGCCTAATGAGGCTCCAGTGATGACTGGAGCCTTGCCCACACTTCTCACATTTGTAAAGGCTCTCTCCAGTGTGGCTTCTCTGGGATTCATAAGGCGTGTCCGGCTACTAAAGCTTTTATTGCACTGACTACACTGATAAGGTTTCTCACCAGTGTGGATACAAAGATGCTGAAAAGTCCCGAATTCTGAAGGAAGGCAGGCTTTGCCACACTCGTTACACTGATAGCGCTTCCCTCCAGTGTGTATCTGCTGCTGTTGGACAAGGCGTGAGATAAGGCAGATAACGCATGCTTCACATTCATTGGGCTTTTCCCCTGTGTGGATTCTTCCATGTCTAATGAGATCACTGCAGGTACTGAAGACTTTTCCATACTCCTTACATTGATAAGGTTTCTCTCCAGTGCGGCTCCGCTGATGTTCATTCAGGCCTGATTTCTGGTTGAAGGCCTTTTACATTCATCTGGCTTCTCCCCAGTATGGATTCTCTGGTGTTGAATGAGGCTTGAGCTCTGAGTGAAGCTTTTCCCACACTCATTGCACCTCTATTGTCTTTCTTCAGCAGGGTGTTGATGCAGCCTTTCCATCCTCTTGTATTTACACGTTTCTCTGTACTTAGAATCCAGAAGAGCATCTCTTTGGAGTCTGCTGTCCCCAAAATGTCCTGATTCTTTTAAGACTTCTTGCTTTGCTGTCAACCCCTGGTTTACAAGTATAGGTTCACTACCTGGAACAATAACCAGAACAAAAATAAATACATTCCTAGAGTGTGGATAAGTTTACATAATGTAAGGATGACTTAAACAGGGCTATCAGAGTGACCACATTTCCACAGCTGAAATTCAGGCTGGAGAAAAAGCAAGACTCACAGAGAGGCTATGCAATGGCAGATGCTACAGAATATTCACCACAGGAAAGGCACTATTCTAGGTGTTCCACACATGTTAACTTGTTAAATCTTCAGTTAACTCTTTACTTGAGGTACTTCGATGTTTCCAGGTCAGACACACATAAACTGAAGGCACAGGAAGTTTACCTAACTTGTCTACTGTCAAAAGCTATTTAATTGCGATGCTTAATTCCAACCCCTGTAATTTGGCCCTAGAATCACAATCTTAACCCTTTTCAGAGCCACCAGAGCTCCCTTTGAATGGAGGACATGTGCCTTATTCTTGTAACTGGTGGAGGCCAGAAGGTTCACATTTGAGATGTGTCACTGTGGAATGGTTGACTGTTGATTCCTGCTTGACCTTCAAAAGCACTACATCATCTGAGGGCACTTCAGAATGTTCTTGCTTCTGACCTAGCAAATAGTGGGTTTATAAGAGAGCTATGAGAGCCCAAGCTAATGATTCATGCAAGAGAATATGCGGAACCATATGAAACATCTGTAGAAGGATGGTTTAATGGAAGGACCAAATTCTATATCCCGCAAGAGCAGAAAAGAAAGAAAAAAGTGAACCAATAAGATGTGGTCACTTTAAACAGGTCAAGTTATTTGATTGATTGATTGCCCTTTAAACAGGGAAATCCAGCTGGGCTTGGCGGCACAGGCCTGAAGTCCAAATTACACAGAGGGCCGAGGAGGATTGCAAGTTCAAAGCAACCTGGAGAGTTTGGTGAGACTTTATCTCACAATATGTAATTTAAAAGGGGGTGAGGATAGAGCTCAGTTGAAATGCACTTGCTTAGCTTGTGCAAGGCTATGGGTTCAATCCTCAGTGCCAGAAGGAACACAAAGGGGGTCGGGGTGTGCAGGAATCTGATTTCTCTCTCCTTGAGTGCGTGCTGTATTTGATGGCTCCTTTCTACTGAAATATGGCAGAAGTGATGGTATCTAACTTCTATATAATAATAGTTTTTAAAAAAGCTTTGTGGTTTTTCCCTTTCTCTCCATTGGAGAAAACTAGCTGAAATGTCGTGAGAACAAGCAATTCTATTGTAGTATGCCTTATTAAATATATTTTATGTTAGTAAATTGCCACATGCTGTTTGAGCTCACTAAAAAGCTGGTTTTGGAGGAGGGCTTGGCTCCTCCACTTCAGGCCCAAGCATGTTGGTCTAGAAGTATCCTTCGAGACCGCTTGTCTGGAGACAGACAGACTGTCCACCCCCGGCCCTGAGGCAGGAGGGAAAGAGAACAATAAAACAGCCCAGAGTAAAACTACCCTGTCCTTGAGAGCCTGCTCTGCTTCCTAACTCACAATCACCCCAGTTCCAGGGGATGTTACACCCTCTTCTCACCTCTGTGGACGATAGGCGTACACATGTAGGCAAAACACTCAATAAAATGAAATAAATCTAAAATAAAATTTTAAAAAACAAATAAATGCATGTGATTTTTTTTTTTTTATGCCAGTGGTGGGAAGTCTCACCACAGGAAGAACTTCTGCCTGGGACCTTCTTTGGTGATCAGAGGCTCCAACTGACTGTGTATGACTGGGCCTCCAAGTCCTTTCTAGTCTTTTCCTGATGTTCTATATCTGCTGCTTGCCGTTTTGTGCTCTTTTGCTTGCTTATGTTTAATAAGCTCACTCATTTGGAAACCATGCTCGATCATTCTCCATGAGGAATATAATTGGGAAAGTTGTAAGAACCTGCAAAATGCCATTACTGTTTCTAAGGAGTAAATGGTCCAATGTTGCTGAGGAAATCCCCAGATAGGAATACCTCTCCTGGTGTGCATTGGCTCAGGAATGAGCCTAGCGGACTAATCTTAGTGAGCAGTAGTGGTCCAACAAACGGGAAGGTTTGAAGCTACACCATGTGGCCGAGGCTTTGCCAATGGCTACTGGGAGAAATAATACGATCTTTTTAGCCAGGTGGGAAAGCTCTTGAGGAGCAAGATTGAATAAGACAGTAAAAAGTTTGATCAGAAAAGGAGATGGTCGACTTGTAGAGCTGTCTGGTAATGTTGCCAAGAAACCTGAGTCATAAGCAGAGGAAAGGAAGGGGAACATCATCACTGCAAGAAAAGTTCATTTTGAAATTGGCTCTGTGAGGGGGTACCTATGGTGATATTTTATTTGTACTAAAATGTGATTTGTATGTTAATAAATAAAGTTGCCTGGGAGTCAGAGCTATTAGAGCCATAGCAAAAGCTGGGCGTTGGTGGTGCACACCTTTAATCCCAGCACTTGGGAGGCAGAGCTAGGTAGATCTCTGTGTGTTCAAGGATACAGCCAGCATAGAGACACACGCCTTTAATCTCAATACCAACCATAGAAGACCTGGAGGTCTGTACAGACAGGCAGTGACAAGGCAGTCATGTGTTTGGGTTTACAACCAATGAGAAGGCAGAACAGAAAGTCTATATAAAGACAAACAGACAGGAAGTAGGTCTCTTTCAGAGAGGTCTCTTGGCTGAAGAGGACAGCCCCAGCAGTGAAGGGTAAGGCTCTTAGCTCTGACCTCTTGGGCTTTCATCTTTGCATTGACTCTGTGTTTCTTATTTAATAAGACGGTTACTTCCACAGGTACCAGGGCCAAAGACCTGACTGATAACTCTTGGCTCTCATCTAATCTCCCATGGTACTCCTTAAAGACTGTGTGCAAAATGTTAAGGAATCTATGAAGCATGAAGTGTTCACTGGTGCGGCTGGTAACTTCACGGCAAGGATGTGGATCAGGATTATTAAAGCTGCTGCTCTTGTCAATAAACAAGTTACTATGACTCTCATAGTGAATGAGACAAGAAATCCAATCAACCAAGTGATTAAAAAATATATAACTGGGGGAGCTGGGCAACTGATGCATGTGAAGATGACTCAAGCTACTCCCTTCACACCCCTGGTGAGCAGGGAGAGCCCTGGACAAAATACATGGAGTGACCTCCTGAGAACTATGGCAGATTCTTCAAAAGAATGGATTGTGAGCTTCAAGGGGTCTCAGTGGGTAAAGGCACTTGGGAAGCAAGCCTGATAGCTCGGGTTTGATCGACAGAATCCACGGAGTTAGATACAGTGGCTCACCTGCACTCCTAATGCTGTCTATGGAAACTGGACATGGGATTGTCCAGAAGGTTGCAGGCCAGCTAGCGTGGAGTACACAGAAGAGCAGAAGCAGCAAGAGGGACCACACCTTAACAAGACCAAAGAAAGAACCAACTCCCAAAACACTGTCCTCTGACTTCCACACCACACTGTGTACACATGCACAGTAGTATTTTTTTAAAAAAATAAAGGCTAGAGCCCCTGACTGATGCTTCCCGGGCCATTTCTGCTGGATGATGCGTCTGACTTGACTGTTTATCTGTTGCTTGTCATTTTGTTCTTTTACTTTTGCTTGCTCTGTATTTAATAAACTCTCTCATTCGAAACTGAAAGGCTATTGTGGGTCATTCTCTATGTGGAACACCTGGGATGAGTCAAGGTGGCAAAGACCTAAAACTTCCTGTCGGCAGACAGAGAGCAACTGAAGTTACTAACAACCACACCTGGGTTGTTCCAAAAGGGGTCTGTCAGCCTTAGTTAAGCTATCAGATGGCTATACTAGTCTTGACTGACATCTTCATTGAAAAACTCAGGAGATCCTCTTAAGCAGCAGCCAGATTCCCAATTCACAAACAACACTGTTGTTTTTTTTATAAGCTATTAAGATCTAGGGGTCACGGGGCAGTGGAGGCACACACCTTTAATCCCAGCATTTGGGAGGCAGAGGCAAGAGAATCTGTGAGTTGGAGGCCAGTCTGGACTATAGAGTGAGTTCCAGGACAGCCAGGGCTACACAGAGAAACCCTGTTTTGGAAAGAGGAATGGGGAGGGGAGGGGAGGAAGGGAAAGGAAAAAGGAAATGAGAGGAAAAGAAAAGAAGAGATAAGAAAAGGAAAGGAAAAATATTTAGGGGGTGATTGTTCACACAGAAGCAGAGAACTCAGACTTGTAGCCATAGGCAACGGAGCTTCGCTCTTTGTTCAGTATTCAGTGTCTCGAACCCCAGTCCTCCTCATCCCACCTTAGTGAGTTTCCAAGCTCACTAAGCTCTTGCTCCAGATCTTCAAGCATAGCCACTGTCTCCTCCCCGCTGTTTGGGCTCTGCTGTTGCACCTAGGTGTAGCTAGAGTTTTCCTGCCTGGTCCACAGTCAGGACAAATCTCTCTCACCCGCCAGTCCCAAGCCACTCAAACCCGACCAAGTAAACACAGAGACTTATATTGGTTTCAAACTGTATGGCCGTGGCAGGCTTCTTGCTAACTGTTCTTACAGCTTAAATTAATCCATTTCTATTAATCTATACCTTGCCACGTGGCTTGTGGCTTACCGGTACTTTACATCTTCCTTGTCCTGATGGCGGCTGGCAGTGTCTCCCTCACCCAGCTTTCCACTTCCCAGCTCTATTCTCCTCCTTGTCCCGCCTATCCTTCCTGCCTGGCCACGGGCCAATCAGTGATTTATTTATTGACCAATCAGCAACACATTTGACATACAGACCATCCCACAGCACTTCCCCTTTTCTTTTCTTAAAAAGGAAGGTTTTAACCTTTATACATCTCCAAAGTCAGCTTGGTATATTTGGGAATTTGGGCGTAGCTTCTCTTACTACTTCCTGCTGGAGGGGGGCGCTGTATCTTATGGGGACACAAAGAATATTTAGGATTATGGAATAGTCTATGAGAGTGTATTGTCTGAGCCTGTTGCCTGAAACCATTTTGGATGTTGGATCATCTGGGCCATGGTGTCATCAGAGACCTTTCAGGGGGTCTTGGCTGGTCAAACCTGATGTATCTTA